AATTATACCACCACTGAAAAAGAACTCTTAGCCATTGTGTTTGCTTTTGATAAGTTTAGATCATATTTCCTTGGTTTTAGAGTTATTGTTTATATTGACCATGCAACTTTAAAGTACTTGTTAAAGAAGACCGACTCCAAGCCACGATTGATTAGATAGATGCTTCTACTCCAGGAGTTTGATTTGGAGATTCGTGATAGGAGTGGAGCATAAAATTTGGTGGCAGATCATCTAAGCATAATAGAGCAAGCTATTGACAGCTTTCCTATTCGTGATGATTTTCCTGATGAGCAGCTCTTGAATATCTCTATCTCTCACCTTACCTCTTGGGTTGCTAATATTGTTAATTACTTGGCTGCTTCTATTTTTTCACCATTAGCATCTAGATCTCAGATTGATAAACTTAAAAGTGATGCTAAATATTATTTTTGGGATAATCCATTTTTGTGGAAATTGTGTAGTGATTAGGTGATTAGGAGGTGCATTCTAGATCATGAGATTCAATCGTTCCTTAATTTTTGCCATGCTTCAACAGTGGGTGGCCATCTTGGCTCCCAAAGAAAAACAAGGAAGGTACTTGACTCTGTATTTTACTGGTCTACCATCTTCAAGGATGCGTGGAGGATTTGTAGCACATGTGAGGAGTGCCAAAGAGCAGGAGGTTCCATTACTTGGAGACAGCAGATGCCTCAGCAACCTATGTTTGTCTGTGAGGCTTTTGATGTCTGGGGTATTGATTTCATGGGCCCTTTCCCTATTTCTTTTGGTTTCTCTTACATATTGCTTACTGTTGATTATGTTTCCAAGTGGGTGGAGGCTAAGGCCACTAGGACTAATGATGCTCGGGTTGTTGTAGATTTTGTTAGATCTCATATTTTTTGCAGGTTTGGCATACGCAGAGCTATTGTTAATGACTAGGGCACCCACTTTTGCAATAGATCCATGCAAGCTATGCTCCGAAAGTATGGGGTCGTCCATAGAGTTTTTACTCCTTATCACCGTTAGACTAATGGGCAAGCTGAGGTTTCAAATAGAGAGATTAAGAGGATCTTGGAAAAGATGGTGCAACCTAACAGGAAGGATTGGAGTCGTAGACTTGAGGATGCTCTTTGGGCACATAGGACAGCCTACAAGGCACCTATAGGGATATCTCCCTATTAGGTTGTTTTTGGCAAGGCATTTCACCTACCAGTTGAGATAGAGCACCATGCATATTGGGCTATGAAGACTTGTAACTTGGCTCTTGACCAAGCTGAAGAGGAAAGGAAGCTCTAACTGAATGAGCTTGATGAAATCCGCTTAGAGGCTTATGAGAAATCTAAGTTCTACAAAGAAAAGACCAAGAGATTCCATGATAGCTTGATAGCTAGGAAGTAGTTTCTTGTTGGGCAGAAAGTGCTGCTATTTAACTCTAGACTTAAGCTCATGGCTTGTAAGATTTGTTCTAAGTGGATTGGTCCCTTTTTGGTTACTAAGGTTTTTTCCTTATGGTGTTATAGAAATCAGGAGCGAATCCTCCTATAAGAGCTTCACGGTGAATGGTCATCGCCTCAAGCATTTTCATGAGAGTCCCTCACTTGTGGATGTCACTATGGAAGATTGCACACTAGAGGAGCCCACTATTGATCCACCATGATTAGGGAGTTTCTTATTCTCTCTTCTACTCTTTTTTCTTAAATGTCATATTTGGTTGATTGTGATGATTGTGCTTTCATTAAGGATAATGTTTGATTTAAGTGTGGGGGAGTGGTTTAGGAGTAGGATTTCCTTTTCAAATAAATGGTTTTCTTTTTCATTGAATTGTTAGATTTGTATGAGTTTTTGGACATTTCCTTGCTACTTTGTGGATTGAATATTTGTGAACTCTCTTCATATGTCAAGTTGGTTTTGATGAGTAAGAGGTTGGATTGATTGTGACACCTACCCTTGGTGAGATTGTGAGCCTTGATTTGGAAAGATAATTATTCTCTCTCTTGTGTGATTTCACTCATGATGCTTGTACTGTAGAACTTGGCTTGACTCTTTTTGACACAACTTGATCCACATGCATGTATTGAAGTGATTTAGGCAATTGATTTCTGTCCTATCCGTACCGCTATGCCGAGCTCGAGCTCGGCATCTCAGCGCGGCGTGACCTCGAACACGCTCTAGGCCACGTCAGCTCGACATCCAAATAGGTCATAAACTGATCTCAGGCCCAAGGCCCATCAAAACCCTAAATTCACACAAAGGTACGTGCATTACTTATACGAGACTCATACACCCACAAACACTAACTTTAGCATCGGAGTCTCTTTGGCAGGTACCACCCCCGCCTTGGAATAGCAAGCATACCCAGTGAAGGAGGCTCACTGATCTTACCCAGCAGATCGTCCCCTACGACCGATCTCCGGTAAGAACATTTGGCGCCCACCGTGGGGCCGATCAAGACGACTCTTATCGGCCACGCTTGTGGTTTTCACTCGAAGCCATAGTAGACGCGCAACAGACGACGCATATCACACGACAAGTATGGACAACGAAGCAACATTGAGGAGACTAATCGAACAGGTTGAGCAAATGCGGTAGCAACACACCGTCGATCTGCAAAATATCCGTGCCAAGCACGAAACTGACCTAGCGGCGCTGCGTACCGCAAACGAGGCTGACCTGGCGACGTTGCACGCCGAGAACGAGTGCTTTCGCGCTCAGCTTCCTCGACGCCCTTCTGATCAACCCCCTCAACCAGGTAGTCAACACGAAGAGGAGGGGCACTCGATCTCTCAACCCCCAACCGCGCCTAGGGCACCGACTCCCCGGCCTGCCACACATCGGTCTCACGCACTGACGAACAGGTCGGCCCCTGAAGACAGTATGTCTTGAATCATGAATGACATATGAAGGCTGCAATATACAATTTAAACTCGGGACTTTGCCACATTTTCATCCACCGAAAATAACAAAGGTAAAATTCAAATTTTTTATATTTAAATTAGTATTTCTTTTCATCTAAACTTGTTTAATTATAAAAGAAATAGTTGTTAAAGTCACAGAACAAACCGGTCGCATATTATAGGTCTTAATAAACTTTTCCAACAATACTTGTTGAAGAAAAAAATAAGATAAAAATTTGAAAATAGCTAATATGAAAAAATCGCTGCAAGTTAACATATAAGTTAATTTTAACCCATAAAAAACTCATTTATTTTTCTTCATATTTATTTAGTTTTAAAAATATTTACTCTAAACAATCCCTATAACATGTTATTTCTTTTTTTATCATCAATTAAATATTTATTCGTATTTGTTTTATTATATTTCAACAATAATAAATTGATGATTTATTACTTTTCAAAATTTGTAGCGGATGGTATAATTCAGCTTAGGTTCAATTACTACTTTAATATATTGAGAAGCAAACCAGAAACTGAAGGTGTAATTAATTGGCTCAGCACTATTCCTAAAGAACAATGGACTCTTGCATGCAATAATGCTCAACGATAGGAAAACATGACTACCAACTTGGAAGAGACAATAAATTTCATTCTAGGGAAAACGAAATTTGCCAATATTTGTAATTATCATGTCTACTTATAAAAGATGCAATTCATTATTCATCTAGAGAGGGAAGGAAGTTGATACTAATCTCAGAGCTAACCAAGTTTGTATTAAAATAATAAATAAGATCATGAGAGATGTAGAATCTAATGCAAATAGTCATCTTGTCCTCGAGTTTAATCGTCCTAGTACACATTTTATAGTGCAAGAGACCATTAACTCAAGGGAAGAACGAGCAACTGGATCTTTCATAGTTAAACTAAAAGAGAAATGATGTGATCGTGACAAATTCCAAAAGTTACGCATGTCATGCTCACATGTTCTTGCTGCATGTAAGCATGTTTACCACCATTACACATCTTACATAGATACGGTATACACATTAGAATATGTTTTCAATATGTATAATGAATTATTTGGTGAACTGTCTAACAAATCTTACTAGTCAAAGTGTGACGAACTGCAAATCTTATCAAATCCAGGAAAGGTCATAAATAAAAAAGGTTGTCCGAAGTCATGCCAAATACACACTGAAATGGATATGATTAAATCAGAACAACCAAAAAGATGTTATGTGTAGGAATGTAAATCACTCTAAAAAAAATGACATTATCATCAAGGGAATTCAAATCTACAAATTTAAATGAACGATTTTTCATGACCTAGATCTCAATTTCAGTTGATTTTGTTATGTCTTTCATAAATATCATGTTTGATAATTTAAATTTATCTTTTCATACCAACATTTTTTATTTATAATACCAAATTTAAAATGTAATAAAAAAATATTACAATTTTTTAATAACAAATTTAATTATCTATAATTATTAATATACAATAAATATATTAAATAAATTATACTTATTTACAAATATAACAAATTAATTATTAAATTTTCTATATTTTTTAGATTAAATTTAAATAATCAATATAATTTTTAAATTTTAAATATAATTATAATATTACATATAAATTCTTAAAAATATTAAATTTAAATATTAAAAATCATATTCAAATTCTAAATTTTAAATTAAATTAAAATAATTTTAAAAATAGAAAACAAAATGAAAATGAAAAAAAAAATACCCCAGTTGAGAAATCAATTTTCCAACAATAAATTTCTCGTTGAGCTTAAAGAAATGGAGGCCCAAGTTGAGAAATTAATTCCCCCAATCGATTTCTCAGTTGAGTTGAAAACGATTTATTTGCGTAAATAATAACCACCCAGGTCATTTAAATAAATAAAAAAAATAGTATAATAAAAAATAAATAAATATTAAATATTTCAAAGATGGAAAAGGTTTACTACAAAAGCCAAGACGGGCTTCCCAAAAAAAAAAAAAAGTCTAACATTTTATACATTGTTGCTCTCTCCCCCTCTCTTTCTACTATTTACTTTCATTACTAAATAAACTCCTAAAATGGACTGAAAATAAAACTTTATTTACAATGGAACAAGACAATAAAGAATACTCATTCATACTTATTATCTTTATTTTATTTTTATGTCAAGATATATCAGTGGGACTTGTAGTCACACAACACACTTCCTCCTGCGTTGATGTCCGACTTAAGGTTCAATTCTGAGCCCCCACCCAGTATTTTAAGCTTCTTTGGATGTTTCAAATATTTAATTTTGGAGAGACATGTACAAGTCTTGAGAGCAACCTATACATTTGTTGTTGTACTTGTACAACATGCTTGACTGTTTCTAAAGCCTTGGATTGAGATCAAATTAACACATGCAAAACTTCGTCAAATTCATTCAATCAAAGGTCTAGAAACTGCCCCTTACATGTTGCGCCAGTACAGCAGTTGAACATAGCTTTCCATTGGGATTTTACATGGCATAATTCTATATCTACAACATTTGCATCAATAAATTAAGCACCCCAGCTATACCAGAAAGAGAAGACACGAAAAATTCTATTCCAACGCTGTAATATCACAACATTCTTATTATTAATCGTACGTGCCTATTTGCTTCTACACTTCTCCTTCCCTCTTCACAAACCGTCCCTGCAAAATGTACCCACAAAGAAATTCTTTTCAAAAAATTTTATTCAGCATGTGCAGAATGGGAATGACAAGTTTCAGATGTTCACAAACATGCAGACAAGCGCAGTACTAAATCCTTTCTAAGGAGTGTTAGATTATGAAAGGTTATTAGTTATTATTATGCATTGAGAGACATTATTATTATTGTGTAAAAACCAAACTTTTGAGGAGTTATTATTATTGTTATGTCTATTTAGTGTGTTAATTAAAATGTAACATAATGGTTAAGGTTTTATTATAATTAGAATATCAATGCATGTAGTTCGAATGACAAGAACAATAGAATCTCTTCTATTTTCTATAGACTCTTCTCTATTTTTATAATACTCTATTGCTGATACTGTAACGTCTTATCGGCTACCGTCAGCCAGCAAAAGATTTCTAATTTGTGTACTCGCTGCAGTAGTGCAGTTGAAGTGTTTCACAGGGTTGCAGTCAACTTACAAATGCTAGATGGCAAAGTAACCTGAGATAAACTACCCAGGGTAGGACTCGTGAACTTATAGTAGAACTGTTCCAACATGAACATTTGTATCCGCAACCTGAGATAAAATACCTAAGACACTACCAGATGGAAAGTGACAATCAAAGAAATTTATTGGTAAGGTGATGTTCATACATGCCGGAGTAAAGTAACAAAAAGAGGAAAGCCTAAAATTTGTTTTACTTTTTGTTGTACAAATAACATCTCTCCTCTCAAAATCGTTACTTTATCGACTAAACATCCCTCCCTCCAATCAAATCCCTATGAACATATTACATCTCTATGAATCTGAACACAACACTCAAATCTTGAAAAACATTCTCCTGGTGTGTGTATATATAGACTTGAGTATTGACGTGTGTAGGAAATCATGCATTGGCTAGTGAGATGTGGCTAAAATAAGTATATAAATGAGTAATCATCACTTTACAAAATTGGTTTTGCAATGTTAAGCTAGATCAAAAATCATATTATAAGATGTTACCAGAGCATATCGTAGCAAATATTGTTAGATTTATCATGTCATCCAGTCATCAAGTAACTATCAGACTAAACGCAAATGTCCAATATTGTAAACTTCACACATAGTGTTGAAAATCCTACATTAACTAGTCGTAAGGATAATCTTTACCCTACAAGTCAATTTGGTATCATTGAGTTAAACCTATAATCTACTTCCTTAATATAGCTAAAGAAGTGTCATTTCAAGTAACTTTCTACTAATTGCAACTCTTGAGAGCTTTAAACCTCTACCTTAAGACCAAGTAAGCATTAGTTTTGTTGGATGAGTTAAACCCAAACCCATATTATATTATGGATCAGAGCCAATCGTAATAATTGTTGTTGGGTCAATGGTATCATCTGTTATTTGTCCACTCACATGTTTAGTTCTGCAAACTTCACACATCATATTGGAGATCTCACATTAACTAGCAATATGGTTAAGTGAAGATAATTTCAACCTTACAAATTGATTTTGTAAGAATGAGTTAGATCTATAATTCATTTTCTTAACATGGTTAAAAAGTACCACTTTCTACTCAATGCAACTCTTAGAGCTCTCAACCTTTACCTTAAGACCAAGTGAGCCTAAATCCCAGCAGCTTGGACAACCATTTTTATCTAACACCTTGCCCTCCACCATTTTTCCACCTACATAGTCCATCTAGTCATACTCAACTATTGTATATATGAAACACATGAATTAGAATTTGATACTGTTAAAACAATTGTTTAATATATGTTGTACAGCTTTTATAAAGCTTTTTATGACCTTATCTTTCTTAGGGTATTTTAGGTCCATAGGCTGGAACCTTTTGTGATAGGTGTATCCATTTTGTTCTTTAATATATATATATATATATATGAAACAGCAACTGAGAAGCTCTCAGTTTGTTTTCTTTTTTGCCACAAATTCAAATCTAAGTTGGTATCAGAGCGGGTTCGATCCCGCTCTACCATCAGCCATTGCCGTTTGTCATCCGTTGCCGACCAAATTCTCCGATGATCTTAGGATTTGGTGTGCCTCGTTGAGCGCAACACAACCCTACTAGTTTCAAGGGAATTGGAGTCTCCATGCGCTCTCATGTGCCGCTCTAAGTTTTTATCCAGTAATGCGCATGTGAGACGCGCTGCCTTCTACTCATCAGAGTTTTGTCGCGCTGCCACCGCCATGTTCTTCCTCCTCTTCTGAGTCTGTTCCAACCCTCAATTTACTATTATGGGTGGCTGTTTGGATCGTGGTTACTATTCATCTCCATTTTCTTCCGCATCAGTTAAATGGCCTTCACAAGTCCTATTCTTCCTTTTTCTGGTACTACCACCATTACCACTACAAAACTAAATTGGAAAAACTATTTATATTGGTCTGCCTTGATGGAGCTATGGTTTCTTGGTCAAGGATATCATGACCATTTGGAGAAAGAAGTTAGTGTTATTCCTGCTAAACATAAATCTCAATGGAAAAAACTTGACTTCCAACCATGTGTTGTCCTATGGCAATCTGTTGAACCTAAGGTGTTAGAGATACTTAGGTCATTTAAGACATGTCATTCATTTTGAAAGGAAGCCCAAGATATTTATGCTAATGACATTCAACGTCTTTTTGATGCAACCCAGAGAGTAGCTTCTCTTAAACAGACCAGCCATGATATGATTTCACATGTAGCGAAGACTTGGGCTAGAATAGAAGAACTGAAAAGATTTGTTGTGGCTGGCTCATTGGAGGATGTCAACAAAAAACTTGATAAGTTATATATGGTTGGGGAGATACAATCCTCGCTGTTTTTTTTAATAAATAGGATGTCATCTTCCTCTCTCAAAAATCAGATTTCTCACTATCATTTTTTCAAATGATCCTTTATCTCATGTCTCTTTTCGGATGTTTGGTTGTACTTATTTTATTCATAATGTTAAACATTTTGCAAAGGCTATTAAATGTATTTTTCTAGGATACTCTCGTCTTCAAAAAGAATACAAATGTTACTCTCCAACTACCAAGAGGTATTATATGTCTGTTGATATTACCTTCTTTGAGGACACGCCTTTTTTCTCACCCTCCATAGACAATCATATTTCTGTTCAACAGGTTCTTCTTGTCCCATTCTTTGATCCAGTCATGATTCTCAATCCCATACTCATACTCATGATTCAGTTGAAGACTTTCATAATTTTGATCCTTACTCAACAAATTCCCATACCACGGGTCCTTCATCCTCCACGCCATCTCATGACTCCAATTCAAATTGGCTCATTGCTATTCAAAAAGCTAGTCGGTCTACTTGTAATCCTCATCCTATTTTTAATTTTTTGAATTATCACTGCTTGTCTCCTTCATACTTTTCCTTTGTTTTCTCTTTATCATCAACTATTGTTCCTAAAACTATCAATGAGGCACTTGATCATCCAGGATGGTGACAAGCCATGCCATGATTGATGAAATGCAGGCTCTTGCACACAATGGCACATGGGAGCTTGTCCCTCTACCTCCTGGAAAGAAAACTATCGGTTGTAGATGGGTCTATGCTGTTAAAGTTGGCCTTAGGGATGAAGTTGACTGCCTTAAAGCTCGGTTGGTAGCCAAGGGTTACACTCAAATTTATGGTCTTGATTATTGTGATACCTTCTCTCTTATGGCTAAGATCACCACGGTTTGGCTCTTCCTTGCTATGGTAGTTATTCGTCATTGGTCACTCCACCAGCTTGACATTAAAAATGCCTTCTTCCATGATGACCTTGAAGAGATTTATATGGAGCAATCTCCTAGGTTTATTGCTTAGAGAGAGTGTGGTTTAGTCTGTAAATTGCATCGATCTTTGTATGGATTGAAACAATCACCTTGAGCTTGATTTGGTAAATTCAATCACATTATGCAGATTTTTGATTGGAACAAAGTGAGGTAGATCATTCAATATTTTATTATCATTCTGCTGGAAAGTGTGTTTATTTAATGGTCTATGTTGATGATATAGTTATTACAGGAAATGATGCTACTAGAATTTCTCAACTAAAAGAGCACTTGTTCAGTCATTTTCAGACTAAAGACCTTGGTAGTCTAAGATACTTTCTTGGTATTGAAGTGGCTCAATCAAAGGAAGGTGTTGTAATTTCACAAAGGAATATGCTATTGATATTTTGAAGGAAACGGGTTTGCAAAATTGCAAGCCAATTGATAGTCCTACGGATTCAAATCAAAAGCTAATGATAGACTAAGGTGAGATTTTTCTAGACCCAGAGAGATACAGGAGGTTGATGGTAAAACTCATTTATCTCACTATTACGAGATTGGATATTTCATTTGCAGTTGGAGTTGTTAGTCAATTCATGCAAAATCCTCACATTAACCATTGGAATGTTGTGATTTGCATTGTCAGATATATTAAAAGGGCTTCAAGACAAGGATTGTTGTATGAGGACAAGGGAAATACTCAAATCTTGGGGTATTGTGATGCTGATTGAGCTGGCTGTCCCATAGACAAGAGATCCACCACAGGATATTGTGTTTATTGGAGGGAATATTATTCCTTGGAAAAGCAAGAAACAAAGTGTTGTTGTCCGATCTAATGCGAAGACTGAATATTGATCTATGATTTTGGCTACTTGTGAACTTATGTGTATTAAACAACTTCTTCAAGAGTTAAAATTTTGTGAAGTTAAACAAATGAAGTTATATTATGATAATCAGATAGCCTTTCATATTGCTTCCAATCTAGTGTTTCATGAGAGAACCAAACATATAGAGATTGATTGTCATTTCATTCGAGAGAAACTGTTGTCCAAGGAACTTATCACAGAGTTTATCAGCTCGAATGACCAACTTGCAAATATTCTAACCAAGTATTTAAGAGGACCTAAGATTCAATTTATATGCTCAAAGCTTGGTGCATACAATTTCTATGCTCCAGTTTGAGAGGGAGTGTTAAAACAATTGTTTAATATATGTTGTACAACTTTTATAAAGTTGTTTTTGGCCCTATCAGTCTTAAGGTAATTTAGGTCCATAGGCTGGAACCTTTTCTGATAGGTGTATCCATTTTGTTCTTTCATATATATATATATATAGGGGGTTATAATAACACCGATGTAACTTTTACTAAGTATTACAGCACTCACTAACTTTATATTAAATGTGAATTTTGTAAATCCAACCGTTAGATTAAAAGTTCTTTACTCTTAGATCATATATACAAAATTTTATATCAATCCAAGATAATTTACTACTTCATTCTTATAAAATAAAATTGACGTAATATATACATTTTAAAATATATTAAAATATAAACATTTTGATCACCTTCAAGTTGTTATTCAATTTTAACAAAATTTGGTATAAACATATAAAGTGATATAAACTTTCAATCTAACGGTTGGATTTACAAATTCACATTTAATATAAAGTTATTGAACAATATAATAATTAATAAAAATTATACCAGTATAATTATAACGCTCCTTTTATATATATATATATATGAAACAGTAATTGAGAAGCTCTCAGTTTTTTTCCTTTTCATTTTTGGCCACAAATTCAAAATTCAAATCTAAGTGATACATTTACCTTATTTGTTTAATAGCTAGTTAGCTACCACTTGGCATTAGTACATCACATGGTATGTAGTCTATAAGATAGGAAACTTGGTAAAAGAATTTTCATATTCATTAAAGAGAAAAACAAATGAACTTTTTTTTTTTTTCCAAAATAAAAATGTGCAGCATGCTAGCCTACACATGAACGTTTAGAGGTGTTTATAATTACTTGGAAACTTGGTTGGCAAGAACAAGAAGTTGATACAAGTTTTGTACATTACTAATTTCTTTAACTTAAGCACAAACTTATTCATTAGCCGCATGAAGTTCCTGAGAAATGGAACACAGAAGCAAGCAAGTATCACTGGCATAGTAACAAAGAAAGAGGAAATAGTCAAATAGTACCTTCATCCTGGGTCGTTTCTCAGCATTGAGCTTGCGAACTTCGTAACGGATCTTCTTTGAGAAGAGCCTGCTTTGCCTCTTTTCCTTGTATCTCTGCACACTTGCCTCTCTCTGCCCCAGCTTCCAATAACCCGTTTCTTCCTTCACCTTGTTGGCCCCACAAATTTCAGGAACACTCCATGCGTTCCCAACACTACCACTCCCCCAACCTTCCCATGCAACCTATCCAAAAAGCAATTAACCTCGTCAAACACCCCCGCAGTCAGAGAGTGAGACCATCACATCACAGTTATGTGTGTGAGCATAATTCCAACCTAAACAGTTAAACATTTTTCTAGTCTCTGGTCAACCTCTACCTTTCTGACATTTAATTATTATTCATTAATGATGATTGATAAAAAAAAAATTGAACAGTGTCCAACCCCTCCCACTACTCAATCCAATGCTGCCAAATCTGGTCAAAAAACAAAAAGCTACTAGTACTATACAACATACCTCAATATTCAATAAATATTCTAATCGGAACACACCCTTTGCCAAAAAGTTAACCCAAAACGATTATCAATATCAATGTCAAAACGATCCCCGGATAACTACAAAACTCGACCAAGGCACAATCCGACACACAATAAACAAATAAACAACTCCAATTCAGACACGCCCACCAAATCTTATACAAAAATCAATGACATAATCTAACATGACCCACCCTCATTTTTTTATTCTCAGTCAATGACGTCCCAAACTATAATCTTCAGATCTAACATAAATTACATGCTTTCACTAGGTCGGTGCCCATTCTCACAAGTAATAAAGTATTCAAATAAATAAAATAAATAAAGAATAAATAATTTTTTTCATTCCAGCAAAATTGCTATTAATTTTTTGTGCCCCGAATCTTGAAACTTCCATTTTTCGTCCTGTAGTTTTTTAAATACACAAATTTTCATCCGCGAGTCTAACTCCAATGATCTGTCCAAGAGGCGACAAAATATACGTAATCTACAACTAGAATGTAATTAAAGTTCAATTGAGAAACAAAAACTTGGGCATTTGAAAAATACAAGACCAAAACCGAAAGGGTTTTTAAAATAAGGAACAAAAACAACCATTAACCCGTAGAAAAGGACAAGACTCACATGTGTTTCATAGTTTTCACTTTTTAATCATAATTAGTTAAAGTTTAACGCTCGGAGGTTTCCCGTGTTCTCGCAATGGTAGGCATGATATCGTCTACTTAGATCTAAAATCTCGTGATTTTTGCTTTGAATAATCTTTCAAAAGCCTCTAACCGACTTTGAGTATTTATAAATCAAAGATTTAGATTCTATGTCATAGTAAAAGTGTAATTAAATTTTAATTAAAATAATATTAAAAATATTCATAGATTAAGATGTAAAAAAAATTAAGGTGATAAAAGAATGAAGCGAGAGTGAAAGGAAAAAATTACATGGGGGACGAAGGCATTATGAATGACGAGACCAGTGAGAAAGTCAGGCACAGTCTGTGGGGCCTCTTCCCCGGCGACATAGAGGGAGCCTTTATCAGACCAAGCATTCAATATCCCTTCGTGATCCAGCTTCAAGGACAACAACCCAGACGACGTCGTTTTCCCCGTGACGCAATAACTCGTCACCTCCTCCATCACCTCCTTCTTCTCCTCCACCACCTCCGAGTAACACACCCACCTCTCCTCACTCCCCTCCTCGCTCTCCCTCCGCCGCATCGCCTTCCTCACCAGCCAGTTCCCCGCGTCCTCCGCCGGACACGTCAGCGCCGACAGCGACCCCTCCTCCTCCGACGGAGACGTCGTCGTCGTCGTCGACTCGTCCTCCAGCAGCCCGTTCAGGCTCCCGCCCCCGTCCGAGCTGAACAACAGCGCCACGTTCTGCTCCTCCTGCATGTCGTGACTCTCCGGATGCAGAGGGAAGAGATTCAGCTGCGGCTGCGGGCCTTCGCCCTGGGCCTGGACCTGGGCCTTGGGCTTGGGCTGGGCCGCGTTTTTATTAGACTCGGACAGCTGAAGACGCAGGCTTACGAACTTGGGCTTCCTCGTCTTCGTCCTGTTCCCGCGCTTAAGCGGCTTAAGAGACGAAGACGAGGAAGAAGAACCCGAACCCGAGGGCGAAGAGAAATACTTTCTGTTCTGTTTTCGCGTCCTCTTCATGTTCACGACAGAGGCTGCTTGAATGTCCGAGGAAGAAGAAGAGGAACTGTTCTTGTTGCACATCACCGGGTGAACGCGAGCACACACGATCACGATCACGATCACACTCACACTCACACTCACACGCTCTTTCTTTGTTGGAGTTTCGGTTTCTCACTCTAACAATGGGGGGAAGAAAAGCTAGCAAAAAGGTTAGGACTTTTCGTGGGGTGGGACACGGACGCATCAAGGGATGATGTGACGTGTTGCCTGTATGACACGTGGAGCTCTCTCATTGGTGGAGTCAGTGGATTCCAATGTTATCTGGATTTCGTTTTTGGAAGAGATGAGGTGATAGATTGGGTTTGGAGGGAATTGGTGCAAGTGTTAAAAAGTTTTAGCGTACTCTAGATTACCCTCTCCTAATGTTAATTATTATTATTTTACTTTTTTTCCTGTGTTCAAAACAGAGGAAACAACTCTTGGAAAAATCTGGAGATACACGTGGCAGAATACTTCATATGCCAATTGCAATTTTATTAGATAAATAAGATCTATTGTACTAAAATATGAGCTACGAAAATAATTTTAGATAAAAATATTTATATTTTCTTTGCTTAATTTTATTTATTGGTATGCGTAACTTTTTAATTATTGTAGAATTCTATTTGTATCGATTTTCTTTTGCTTAGTATATCACTTGTTTCGTTAAAGAGGAGCGTCAATTTAATAATCCTGTAATATTCACGTGATGTTTGAGTTTACAACTAATTAAAATATTTACAGTTAGAAGGAGTTGCGAATGGTGATTACGTGATTAAATTACTCTATATTACTTAGACTTTACGTCAATTTATTATATTTTAAATGGGAAGTTTATTAGAAAATAGTCGTTGAAAAGTTGAAGTGAGTTATGTATTTAGGACTTAGGAGAGTAAATTATTATGTATGTATATTGAGATGCCATTATCTCCAACGAACTGTTTCTGTTGTCATTATTAATTTGTAATTGATGGAGGAGGGTGAGACAGTCATATGAATTGAATTGAATAGAATAATAAACATTGGTAAATGAATTTGTTTGCATGCAATTAGTGGAGAAACTGAGAAAGAGTAGTGACCAGAGTTGCACGAGAAAGTGCACGGTGGGACCCACCACCCTTCGCTTTTTCTTCGCTTTTGGTCTGCCGTGGGAACCCCTCTGCCCCGTGTACAAAAACAACACCTATGTGTCACAACGCAACTCACCGAGTATCTTTCGTAGGGTTTTCTTATAATTCAATTTAAATAGTTACTATATTAGTATATTATAAGTAAACAATTATTTATGTGTGAATAATTTTTTTCTTATTGTGAAGAGAAAATAGAAATCAAATTTCATTTGGCAAATAAAATTAGTTATAACGTAAAATATATATATCCAATGAGGGATCCACGGTAATGGAGATAGTTGCTCCACTAAAAAAATTTTCATTTTATTTTTCATATTAAATATTAATTATTTTGTAAAATATATATTATTAATTATATTTTAATTATTTTATTATAATATTTTATTTTATTATTTAATTACTTTCACTCTGATAAAATTATCTTAATTTTTTATGAAGAAAAAATTTACTTTCCAAATTCTTAATATATTTAATATATAGATCAAGTATACAATTTTTTAAAAGATAAAAATAAATTTTTCTATATCAAATTTTTAAAAATTTAACTATTAAATTAAATGTTCTTAATATATAGATCAAGTATACAATTTTTTAAAAGATAAAAATAAAAATTATATGATACTTTGTTGGATAGATTCAAAATAACATATAAAATATTTTTTATGATTATCTATCAATTTAAATTAATGAAACGGGGTATCAAATAATTTTTAATTTTTGAAAAATTTTATAAATTTGATCTATATATTAAAGACTTCTAATTGAATGGTTGAATACTTGATATAAAACATGTATTATTGAGTGAAGTAAGTCTATCAAAATTTACTCTTGGAATAAGTAGATTCCTTCTTATTTTTTCATTATTGTAATATACTATATTTTTAAACTAAAAGATTTATTACTTCTTTACTCATTAAAGGTGTCATAATTTAGTTTATTGATGTAGGTTATTTTTTAATTTTTATTTTATTCTTTAACCGTTTGATCATGTATGTGCATATTGTATGTTGGGAGGAGACAATCCACATCAAGAGGAATGAGAGCAATTATCACACAATTTTTTTTAACTTAAACATATTTAAATAAAGACATTTATTCTTATAAAAAAATATTACATACATAAAATATTTTTGTTTTAAATGAGTGTAGAAATTTAGAAAATTAAAATAAAATAAATTAATAATTTTATTATTTTTATCTTATTAATTTTTATCATTTTATTCCTCTAATCTTAAATAAGTTACAAAAAATTATAAAGTGATATTTAAATATTTCTTCAAACAGAAAGAGAAAAAGAAAAAATTATTACTCTATTTATAAGACAATTATATTTTATAAAAATAAGTAATTTTAAAATTTTTACCATTAAAAAATATTTTCAAAATTATTATATTTTTATTTTATTATAAAAACATATTTTTCAAAAAAAAATTATTAAACTTTTTAATAAAAAATATATAAAATATTTTATTACCCACACTTAACAAATTTTCTAAATATGTCATTTTATATATGAATTCATCATTATCAATATATATCACACTTCCAACCAAAAATATATATATAAATAAGGAATACAGATTGGTCTACGTCAGTTGACGGCAAATTATTAATTTATCACAATGAATAATATTCGTGGGAGTTCCATCTAAAAATGTCACCATATATAGTTTCTTATAAATATTGAATGTATTATATAATTTATATTTAGGACTAGTTTATTAATGTTTAATACTGATTTTTCAATATTTTGTATTTTGATATCAAAATTAATTCCTCCTTTTGTCTCATAGTGAGGAACGAATTAAGGGGATAAGTTTGAACTTAATTTACTACAAACAATGGATTTTAGTTAACACTTTCATTAATATAATTAGAAGATGATTCATAATTTTAAGCATGTATTTTCATTGCAAAGAATGCAAATGCAAATATAGAAGAAGAAGAAGAACAAAAAGAAATAATAATAAAGCAATTATTTTATTAGATACAAAAAACTAATTACAATAGAATCACTAATGGTGTGTTTGGATGAAGGATTTTATAAATTCAAGGAATTTTAAATCCTTAGTATTTGAATTACTTTGATTTCAATTTCTATCATTCTTAAAATATTTTGTTTAGATAAATCAATTCAAATTTTTAAATTTTAAATTGTTAAGATGGATATAATAATTTGGTTCTACCATGGTAAAATTGATTTTAAAAATATATTTATATGTTGAGATTTTTAAATTAAATTTCATAAAAATAAATATTAGCTAATTTTTAAATATTTAATAATTTTAAAAATTAATATTAGATAATATTTAATAATTTTAAAAATATTTTTGAATATTTAATAATTAAAAGAATGAAGAGATAAGATAAAATATATAGGTGAAATAAGAAAAACAAATATGAGGAATTTCAAATTCTTAAATTTTTTGGAGAATTTGAAATTTTACTATTTTAAGGAATTTCACAAATGTTTGAATTTCAAATTCTTTGTAAATTCCTCATCCAAACAAAACATTTCACCTTAAGGAATTTGAAATTCTTCAAATAAATGAATTACCCTATATAAATTCCCCATCCAAACACACCATAAGGGAATATGAATGCAACAAATAAGAGAAGACTAAATTACCCCTAGTAAAACAATACAAAGCACAAGAGTCCATTAGGCCTATTACCTAACATCCCCCCTCAAACTTGAGATGTGTCTGTAATAAGTATCGAGAGTTTGGTAGTTAAGAAACAAAATTGCTTAGGAGAGTGATTTTGTGAACAAGTCAGCAATCTACATAGAAAAAGAGAGAAATGGTAAGGTAATGGCCCCTACATATAGTGTTTCCTAGTGAAATGACAATCAATTTCAATGTTCTTGGTGCACTTATGAAAGACCAAATTATGAGTGATTTGAATAACACTCTTATTATCACAATACATAAGAGTTGGTGTAGAAAAGGAAACACCCATAAAGTTAAGTGGCCATCTCAACCAAAAAATTTCTACAATAGTGGAAGTCATGGCATGATAATGAACTTCTATAGAAAAATGAGAAACAACAGCTTATTTCTTGCTCTTCTAAGAAATAAGAGAATTCTCCCACAAAGAAGTAAAAACTTGTTTTAGACTTACGATTAGTGGAATCACCCAGCTCCTCCCCAAATCACCATTTAAATAAGCACACAAGTCTAATGAAGAGGAGGAAGACAAAATAAGACTTTGAAATTAGGTGCCTCGAAGATAATGAAGAATGTGAAGAACAATTGCTTAGTGCTTAGTGAACTATAGTAGGAAAATCAATAAAGTGACTGACAATGTGCACAACATAAGCAATGTTGGATTTAGTAATTATAAGATACACCAAGCTGCCAACAAGAGTGCAATACAAAGTGGGGTCTGACAAAGGGATACTATCAAAAGAAGTATATCGTGCATTATGCTCAATAGGAGTATCTTGTATGTGAGTGTCAAAGTAACGTGTTTGATCAAGAATGTTAGTAATGTGCTTAAATTGAGAAAAAAAGATAACCTTTGCAAGAGTAAGCAATTTCAATCCCTAAAAAGTAACAGAAGTTGCCCAAATCTTTCATCTAAAATTGTTAAGCCAATTGCAATTTTGATTTCATTATCCCATCAACATCATCCCCAGTTATGATCATGTCATCAACATACAAGGAGAGCAATATACGACCATGAGAAGTACATTGAACAAATAATGTTGAATCATGAGGGCTAGAGTGGAAGCCAAGAGATGCAATTAAAATGAAGAACTTCTTAAACTAATCTTTGGGAGCTTGTTTGAGACCATATTGGGATTTCTTCAACTTACAAATTGTGGGGAAAGGATAAACACTAGAAAGGAGTTGAATAGTGTGTATAAAAAAACTCACTTTTTCTTAATAAAGTAGTAACACTAGTTACATGGAGTGCAAAGAGAAATCAGACAAAACATTGGGTATTTTTATACTAGTTCGTCTCAATCATCGAGACTATGTCCAATTCTCAATCCAACAAGATTGAGTTTCATTATCTTTCAACAAAGATAT